AACCGTGAACCCCAAATAAACCTGAGCTCCTTTACGTTGTTCTGGTCAGGTGTTTGGGTCACAGCAAAGCAAAGCTAACACAGGGGACTTAAGGTATCTGAGGTCCCCAAAGTGGCAAAGCCAAGATCCAACACAGATCTGTCCCCCGACACAGAAGTTCCTCTCTTCTCCCCAAAGCACTGGGAGAATGTGGCCTTCGTGGGGACGGGCGTAACTCAGCAGCAAGAAGACAGATGGCCCTTAAAACCGGGCAGGGAAGGCCCTAGTGGCTACTTCACCAAAGAAGACTGACCAGGGGCCAGAGAGACGGACGCCGCCTCATGGGTCCTTAGGAAAGTCGGATAAAAACCACCATGAAACTCCTCTCCACGCCCGCGAGCCAGGCCACGGCAAATGCTGGCGAGAGACCTGGGAACCCCGCGGCTGGTGGCACAGACGTGGGTGCGGGCGGCTGCCAAGGGGCACAGGTTCCTTTTCAGGATGATGGAGGTGCCCTAAGGTTAGACTGCAGTGATGGCGGACGACCCTGTAAAGTTCTCTAAAAACCCTCGATCTGCACAGTTAATGGGTGGATTTTAAATACGGATCGGACTTAATAAGGTTGTGGGGACAGGTCTGTGTTTAGTCCTCGAATGTCTTCAAAGGAATCCGTCACGTTCTCGGGGAGCCGGGGTGTGCTCGGGGGGCCAAGCCCGGGCCTCCCATTCCCAGCACTGCACAAAGAAAAAGAATGTCCCTGGGTTGGGAGTCTCCGCTCTGACCAGAGGTGACAGAGCAACACCGAAAGGCCCGATCCCGGAGGCACGGCGGAGGCCGAGTTGCCACTGACCACGCGCTCGGAAAGTTTCCTAAGCTCCCCAGCCTCAGTGCCCTTGTCTGTAAAATGGAACGACAGGACCAGCCTCCCGGGAGACTCTCGGCCATCAAAGGTGGGCAGTAAGCGGTCAGCAGGCTGCTGGCAGAGGTGCCTTTCCTGGGACAAGAGCGTCCTTTCTGGGGCAGCTGCGAGGAAGCGTCGACCACGCTGAGAGACATTGGGGCGGGGGTAGAGTGGGATAATTAACCCAGCAACCGTCTCCTGGGCACGTGTCCCGTGGCAGATCCTGCCTGGGGGACAGGGTGGGAAGGGGGACAAGTCCCAGGCCACTCCCTCGAGGAGCTCCGTGGTGGCGGTGGTGTGGGGGAGGCCTCTGCAGGCCTCCGGGCTCCTGAGGAGGACAGAGGCTGGAGCTGGGCACAGGGCTCCCCGCAGCCTGGAGGGACAGCTTTGAGCTTAGGGCAGCGCCCAGGGCCTTGCTCACTCGGAGTCTCAAAGCACCCGCAGGAGACGGAGTGGCTGGTGAGGCGGGATGTCCAGGGTGTGGACGGTCAGCACCAGCCCACCCCGGCCACTTCGCCTCTGGAGAACAGGAAGAAGGAGTGGAGGGGAGTCTGTGCAGTTCGGATCTTAAACGTCCCCAGAGGCTCAGGTGTTGAAGGCTTGGTCCCCAGTTGGTGGCACTAAGGGAGGTGGTGGACACGGCAGGAGGGGCGCCTAGTTGGAGGAAGTAGGTCACCAGGGAGTGCCCTGGAAGTGGGTATTTTGTCCCTGCTCCTCGCCCTCTCTGCCCCCTCTGTCTTTCCTTCCCTGTTGTCATGAGGCCAGCTGCTCTGCTCTGCCACCCCCCATGCCTTGCCTCAATAGAGGCCCAGAGTGATGGGACCAAGTGACCATGGTCTGCAACCTCTGAAACCATGAAAGAGGAAACAGACCTTTCCTCTTTTAAGTCGCTTTTCTCAGGTATTTTGTCACAGTATCAGAAAGCTGACCAACAGAGAATCTCAGGTCCGGGGGTGAGAAGGGACCCGTTTAGTTCATCTTGTCCACTGTTTCCTGTGACCTGGTCTTCAGAAGCTTCTGGTAAAGGGAGCGGCTGCTGCTGAGCGCCACCATTCTTTTGAAGGGGAAGCTGGGGACAGCAGCACTTGGTGACTTGCTCGGGGAGCTGCAGCCAAGGTTCTGCTCTGGCTGCAGGGACCGCTGTGCGCATGGAGAGATGGGCACCAGGTACTGAGCTTCCTGCCCATCTGCCCTGGGCAAGTGGCAGCATGGTCAGTGCCTCGCTCTGCGGGGTGGCCAGCCCCCCACCCCAAAATGCCCATGGGACATAGAGAGAGAAGAACGAGTGTCTCTAGCATCTACTTTGTGCCATGGATTCTGCCAGGTGCCTCAGTAGGCCCTCAGGATGGTACGTGTTCTCAGCCCGTGTGAGCTCTGCGCACACACAGCTAGCAAAGAGCAGGGCAGGGTTCAAGGTCAGCTCCGCCCTCCAAGAGGTGCTGGCTGCTTTCCCCTCTGTGCCCTGCCCTGCTGTCCCAGTCACACCCAATATCTAACCGCCAGACCTCGGAGGTACGGGTGCCACTGGTTCCTGAGGAAGTCCCACACTGACATTTTTTGGTACCAGAGACTGAACGCAGAAGCGTTTAACCACCGGTACACCCCAGCCCTTTTAATATCTCATTTAGAGACAGGGTCTTGCTAAATCGCTAAAGGCCTCGCTCCGTTGCTGAGGCTGGTTTTGAACTTGTGACCCTCCTGAGACGGCAGGCGTGAGAACGACGCTGGGCTCACATTTCAAAAAGGAGGTATCTGGGGGCTGGGGCGGCAGCTCGGGAGCAGAGCGCATGTGTGGCACGGGCGACAGGCTGGATTCCGTCCCCGGCACTGAAAACAAATAAGAATTTCAAAAAGATAGTTTTCATTATCATTCGTTATATTTTTAAATATGGAATGAAATACAAGAAAAATCGGAACGACAACACAAAATAAACACGGAATTAAACCCAATTGGCAGAGGAAAGGATAATGGCTTCTCTGAAAAGCCATATGCATTTGGGGACTGATCTTTGGGGACGGTCTGGCCCCCTGCGCTCTGTTTTTGCACAGCTGATGCCATTTTGCACACAGCATATTGTGTCCTATTTTTTTTTTCTTCCCCAAATTGTCTCGTAAACGTTTCCTCTGCGGTTTCAAGTTCCTTGTAAACATTGGCAGCGCCGTCTGCGTCCCTCTGAATGACTTTATTTAACCAAGCGCACGGGCTGGAGCTCGGCTTCTTTCCCTTGTCCCCCCTACCCCCCCCAGTACAGCATTTTAACATCCCTGACAGGTGGGGGCACGTCCCTGACAGGTGAGGGCGGTGTACAGCTCCTCTGGGTTGAGGGTGACCAACGCCTCTGGTCTTGGTACAGGGGGGACGGGGAGGGCAGGAGAGAGCCAGACCCCTGCCCAGGCTTCCTGGCTCCCCTGCTGGGTCCCCGGCCATCTGGGAGGTGGCGCTGACCAAGGCTCTCCCCCCCACACCTCCCAGGTCTGCCCAGTGGGATGACTCTTGCCACGCTGCTCTGGAGGGGGCATCTGACTGCCCATCTGCGAGGCGTGGCTTCCTCTCTTCTGTCCCGGGAGGTGCAGAATCTCAAGGGAAAGGTGGGGGTCTGCTTCTTCCTTAGCACCCCTCCCTGGCTGCCTCCTTCCAGACTCTGCCATTCTGGGATCAACCTTGGGCACACTCTAATTCCGACACATGTATTTTAACCAAGCAAATAATTCCACCCCCCACCCCCCCAAGAAAAAAGACTTAGTAGCCAATAGGTTGGAGGAACCCTCCTGGTGTGTCACGGTACCCAGACTGAGAAACACGAGAATCGGGAAGGAAGGCGCCAAAGATGGCCCTTGGCAAATCCCTACTCTAAAGCACCCGCATTCAGGTCGCGGGAGAGGCGCTGGTTGGGAGTTTGTAATCTGTTAAATAAGCGCAGTAGGTGTGGCTGAGTGTGGGGAGCAGGATGTACCCCTCACACGCAGAGGACCACATTTCCCAGGCTCCTTTGTGGCCAGGTGTAGTCATGTGACTAGTTCCAGCCAATGGAATGTGAGCAGGCGGACCACACGCCAGGCCCAGGCTCAGGCACTTACAGGTACTTGTGAATCCTCCATAGCGGCCTTTGGCCTTCCACAGAGACGCTGGGAGAGCAGCAGCACAAAATGAGGACACCTGCCCCAGCCGGGCCCGAGTGCCAGCAGCAGAGCCACGGGGCCACCTGCCCACCTGCAGCAGACAGGCAGCCTCAGAGACGAGAGCCCTCTGGCCCGGGGCGTGCCTGGGACTTCTGGGTGGATCTGTGGCTGCAGCCTAACCCAGGCTCCTGACTAATGCAAGTCCCTGCAGCACCCGCCTGTGTGGCCCAAGTGGCTGCTGACATAAAAGAGGCACACGGGGTTGGGGGGGGGTTTCCCCAACCTGAAAAGGCTCAATTTTGCTTAAAGACAAAACCTTCTGAAAATCCCTAGGGCTGTGCGTTCCCGAGTTCTGGGTTAAACCAAAAGAAAGGGTTCTTGGCTGCCAAAGGCAGATCATTCCAACCAGGCACTCAGAGAGGGAGGGATGGAGGGGACTGTGTAGGTGACCCCTTAGCAGGCTGCCTCCTAACTTCCTTGTAGGAACCTAACTGGACTCTGATTATTAGCCGATGGCCCACGGAAGGCACGCGCCCCAAGAACGACACAGAAGCAAACGCTTTAGACCCTGGATTGTAGGTGCTCAGTGTTTGCTTAGAGATGATTCCTAGGGATGGGAAATAGGGTTTGTGGTGTTAGATTTTCTGTTTGCTTGGCCAACCTGCGGTGCCTAGTTGTTTGGTCAAATACCAGTCTAGGTGTTCCTGAGAAGGTTGTTTTGTAGATGGGATGAGCGTCTACATCAGCTGACTTCAAGTAAAGAAGATCACTCTCAATAATGGGGTAATTGTGGGTGGGCTGCATCTAATCAGTCGAAGGTCTAAGAACAGAAATGAAAGTTCATCAGGTGGAGACTGTAACATAGAAATCCTGAGTTCTCGACCCGGCCTGTAAATCTCAGGCTTACCAGCCGCCGTACTGGGTGGGCCCACTCCATCCTCTCTCTTTCATCCTGTTTCCGTTTCTCTGGAGACTCTGACTAACCCAGGTTCCTCTCTCATGCCATCAGCAGTGGCTGCCACGTGTCGAGGATTCTGAGCCACGTCTAGGCGCCACGATTAATAGCAAAGTGAAAGCGCAGAAGTTCTCTGTCTTGTGGCTCCTGTGTGCCCAGGACCCAGGCCACCACCTACCGCGCAGGCTGAACCGCGAGCTGATTGGTCGAGTGAGTGAAGGCTCTTTCAGCAACACCTGCCCTGGGCCTGGCCCGGGGAGAGTCGCACCAGCTGGGTCACGGCACAGATGGGAGGTTGAGGTCCAGAGGCCCCGCTCAGGGTCAAGGGTGGACAGGTGGCTCATATGGGCAGTGGACACGCGCCTGGCTTTCCCACCCCCGCTCCCCACTGTCTTTATTTGACGAGGGCTCGAAGGGGAACAGAATGCGCAGGAGAGGGGGAGCGCGGTGGTTCGCGCTCTGCTGCGGTTTCCTCCGCGAAGGGGACTTGCAGAGTGGCAGCCAGGGCCCTGCCCACGGGCTCGGGATGTCACGCCTCTGCCCCAACCACACACATCCCGCTCTGCTGGGGCTGGGCTGGGCCCTGGCAGTGCCCCTGGCCATTCTGGGGGTGCTGGTTGCCTACGGGGGACTTCTGTTTTGTGATGGAGAGAGGTGGGGGATGGGCAGGGCGGCTGACAGCGCCCAGGGCCTTTCCTGGGGCCTGGTGCACACAGTAGGCCTCCAGCGGGGTTTGTTGAGTGACTGTAGGAACGTCCAGGGCAGGTGGGGATGGGAAGAGGGGGGCCTGAGATACCCACGCCCCACCAGGGTTGGGAGGGCCCTCCTTCCTGTCGAGGTCCCAGATCATTAGGATTATTGGGGTCATCAGGGCCACCATGCTCACTCTGTAACTCCCTGTGGCCTGGCCGTTTTCAAAGCACAGGGCTGGCTTCATTACTAGTGCACAACTCCTTGTCCATCTCTGTCCCTGTGTCCCCACGACATCACAGGACTCTAGGAATGGCTGGGTTCCTCCAGAGCCCAGAGTGGACACAGGCTCAAACCTGGCTCTGGGGGACCTGAGACCACGCAGAATGAGTTCCAACCCTTTGTCACATGAGTAGAAACAGGAGAGTAATAGTACCCTCGTGAGAGGTTGTTGGAGGGTTCCACGCGTGAATAATCGTGAAGTTCTGCAAGTGGGGCCTGGCACATAGTAAGTGCTCAGCTAACGCCAGCTACCACCAGAGGGTGGGCGACTGGGGTGGTATCCACAGGGAGCCCCTTGTTCACCTCGGCTGTCTGTTTCCACAGCCACCTGGTGAGGACAGCAGATGAGCATGGCGGCCCTAATGACCCCAATAATCCTGATGACCCCAGACCTCGATTGGCATTTCTCAGAGCGCACTGAGGTCTGCCAGGTTGAGTGGCATACACCCAGGTGAGCCACAGGAGAAGGGAGGAGGGCCCAGGACTGGGACCTTCCTGGATGTGGTCACTCTGCCATCGACCAGCCTCCGGAGAACCTTGTCAGGTGAGTGAGAGGTGATTCCGACTTTCTTCTTTTCTGGTTTTCAAAACACATTGCTCGTCTTCCTCGTGGGGAAAGCCGGCTGCGTGTGTGTGGACACGTGTGTGTGTGTGTGTCTTGTGTGTGTGTGTGTGTGTGTGTGTGGATAGTGTGTGCTGTGGGGAGGGGCCCGTCTTCATTTCTCAGGGCAGGGCAGAGCCAGAGAGAGCCATGGCACACATCAGGACAGGGCCAGCCGTTTAGGGTGCTGTCCCCAGCAGGACTCGGCTCCTCGGCTCCTCGCATTGCGCAGCCTCAAACCTGAAGCCCCTCCTTGCAGCTGTTAGACGCCCCCTGGGGTCACCCGCCCCATGGGGCCCCTCCACTGCGTGCGCAGGGCAGGCCCACTCATTTCAGTATTAGCAGAAGTCAAAGAGGATTATGAAGTTAAATCTGCGGAGGGGAAAGAGTTCACTGAATGCATTTCAAAGCCGGAGAGAAACGACCTCTGGAGCCGCTGCTGTGGATTAGCCTTGCCTGGATTCCCATCTGCTGCGGGATTATCCAGATCCCTGTGAATGGGGCCCAGTGGGCCTCCCTGTGGGCGGGGCCTCCCTGTGGGCGGGGCCTTCCCGTGGGCGGGGCCTCTCATATGGGCGGGCCTCTTTATGGGCGGGGCCTACCCGGTCATGCGGGCAGCTGGAAAGTGTCTAATGGGCTTGGGCGGAGGGAGGGAGATGGGAGGGACGCTCTGTGAAGCTCTGGGAGCAGCAGAGGCGCCTACTGAGAGGGGACAGTCATTTGAGGGCAGGCTGGGAGAAGAGAGGTCCCCAGCTAGGTTGTCCAGAGTCCGCCAGGGCAGGGAGGGCGGGGAGGGAAGGAAGCGGTTCTCAGAGCAGATGAGAACCCCATCTCCACCGTCCGGGCCCAGTGACACAGACGAGCCGCGATCACCACCTGATTGGTCTCCGTTTCCTTCCAGGTGTCTATTGATTTTCGACAGCGTGGAGACAATGTGTTAGGCACTGGGGACACCAGGGTGAAGCCGACAGACACTAGCCCTCCACTCCAAGGGGTGAGAAAGTAAGTCCTCACTTCGGAGTCACAGTGACAGGACATGTGGGTGCAGAGCAGGGCGAGTGACTTTGGAGAGGTAGTCAGAGAGGGCTTCCTGGGGGAAGTGCCTAATGGATGGCAGTAATCGCAACAGCAGGCCTTTCGTGAGCACTTACTACGTGCAAAGAATGTCCTAAGCACCTCCCGGCATTTTCTCATTTAATCTCCATGACAATTCTATTGTCTCTGCTTCTCAGTTGAGAAAAGTGAAGCAGCGGGCAGTGGCTTGCCAGGGTCGTGGCCTAAGAACGAGGGACACAGAAGGAGAGGAGAGCAACAGGGAGAGAAGAGAAGCCCTGGGAGGTGGCGCTTCAAAACAAGGAGGCAGGAGGGCCAGGGCTGGGATGGAAAGTTCTAGGAGGAATGCAGTGAGGGGAGAGGCTGGGGCAGACCTGCTGTCCCATGCCGGGGTCCCACCTGAAGGGGTGACCCTCGAAGGAGGCAGGGGATGGAGTAAGTCCTGGAGATGGATCCCACTGGGGAGGGCTGCGGCCCAGAACCTAGGGGTGGGGCCACCCAGAGCCAGGTTGACTGACGCCCCTGGAGCCTGCAGACCTAGACCAGGCCTCCAGGGGGAGCCCCCTCGCTCCAAGCAGGGTCCCGTGCTGCCTGTCACTAGCAGGTGCGGCTGCTGCTGTGTCCTGGGGACTGGGGGACACGGACACACCCCTGTCTGGGTTCTGAGCGGCCCAGGAGAGCTTAGAGTCTGGTCCCTAAGAACCTGGATCCAGAGAGGTCCGGCTCAGGTCCAGGCTCCCTCCTAGAAGAACCCCATTTCCACAGGGGAGCAAACCCACCCCCAGCCACACCCTCGCATGTCCATGGTCACTGTGATTGGTCAGGAGCCTGGTCCTGAGCCAATCAGATTATAGCATCCCCCACAATGGCCCAATCAGACTGGAGGGAGCAGCAGCCCTGCTGGCGGTTGGTGGTGAGCGGTCTTCTTACCTTTTCCTCTCCCACTGGTTGGGATTGGTGATGTGTGGATCCCCTGCTACTGGCAGCCATGCTGTGCTCGGGAGAACATCCAGGCGTTTACTGAGCATCTATTAGGACCCAGACCGTGCACCAGGCACAGGGTGGAGGCAGCACTGAGTGAGGAAAGGGGCTCCTGTGTGGACCTGACTCTCTAGCTGGGGGACAGAATTGGTAAAGGAACAGTGAAACGAGACCAGAGACTGGGCCGCGAGAGCACAGCGCGGGTGACCTGAGAGATTGAGGGGCAGCAGAGGCATTTCCACCCTAGAATCACTGGGGAGTGCCCAGGGCCTGGAGGGGCAGCAGGGCCACCCTCTTCTACGACACCCTGGCTCCCCGCAGCTCGCTGAACCCAGGAAATGTCCAGACCCTCACCCACCCCCACCAGAGCCAACCCACATTGTCTTCCCCGGCACACCAGAGGTCAGAGGTCATCAGGAGGAGGCTGGTAAGATGGGGAGCCCAGGGCAGTGGGGGGGCAGCCTGGGAGAGGGAGGCACCTAGGGCTGAAGGTGCCCAGACCCGAGGGCAAGCCCCTCCTCACACTGCACCAGGGCACCCTGCTCAGTGTGGACGGCAGAGACTTTCCCTATGGCTCTGCCGCCTCTCCACCCACCTGGGGGCGACAGTCACCTGTCAGACGTCCTTATGTTCATCCACAAGACGGAGGAGCTGTGGCCTTCCTCCCAGGGTCCCCGTGTTGGGTTCCCTTTTCCTTCCTTAGGGAGCCCAGGCGGCAATGGAGAAGAAAAAACAGATTGGAATCATTTTCTCATTTTACAGATGGGGAAACTGAGGCACAGAGAGGTTAAGTATTGACCCAGAGGTGCACAGCCTGGAAATGGCACAGCTGGGCCAGAAAACGTGGCCAAAGCTGAGTATGAGGCTGTGCCAGGCGGAAGGGGAGAGCCGCGGCATCGTGGGGCCCCGTCGACGAGGCCACGGCTCCTACAGCAGTCTAGGCTTTAAACACAGAGGGTGCAGGATTACTCAGCTGTGGGGAGGCCAACAGAGCAGGACAGGACAGTCACACAGTGCCAGAGGGGCCACCCAGAAGGCACCAGGGTGGGTCTGGAGGTGGCAGGGGTGGGGGAGAGGATGGAGCGGGTTACTGTGGCTTCCCCAGGCAGGATCAGGCCAGCACGGCCCGTGAGCTGAGCTGCGTGGGACTGGCTGTTGGAACAACTTCGGCTGCTCGGGGAATGGGGACTGCCCCTGGCTGGCTGGGTGCTGGCTCCGGGGACTGGGGCAGGGGTGACTCGTGAGAGCTCAGTTGGGAGGAGGACGGGCCTTCACTCTGGCTGGGTGGTGGCATGGGGAAGGACACTCACTGCTGGGGGCCAGCCAGCCCCGGAGGCCAGCCCCAGAGGCCAGCCTCTCCCCAGCCAGCGAGGCCCCCACACTGCCGCAGCACCCCGGATACAGAGGACGATAAACTGCAGTTGGCAGACATTTCTGAAATGAGAAACCCCCTGCTCCTCTGGGTGTTTGACAAGGAGCGAGGAAGAATGTTCCGCCGCCAAGCCCCCTCTGGCTCCCAGGCAGTAACTGGGGACGGGAGGAGGCCGGCAGCCTGCAGAGGCAGCCAGGGATATGGAGGCACACAGGGCCCGAGGCTGGTGGGCCCGGGGCTGGTGGCTCTAGCTGGTCCCAGCTCTGCCCTCCACTCCCAGGGTGACCCTGCAAGCCACCCTCTGCCCCCGGACCTCGCGCTCAGCATGGCCCCAGGGTCACGGTGCTGGAGCACGGAGCCGGGCAGCCTGGGTTGGATTCTCCCTCTGCTACTTACCAGCTGGGTAACTTGAACAAGCCACTCTACGTCTCTGTGCCCCAGTTTTCTCGTGCAAAAACGGGGACAGTGACAGTCTCCGTCTCACAGGTCTTCACAAGCCAATGCACCCAAGGTGTGTGGGCGTGGGACAGAAGGCCCTTGCAGAGGCTCACACGTGCTGGTGGCTGTGGTCACTGGCTGGGCCAATGGCAGGGTGTGGGTGAGAAGGAATCTGGTGACAGGCACGAGGTGACATCTTATTATTGTCTGTATTCTGGGTGCTGGGGCAGTGGGGGGGACCTCCCAGGGCTGGTAGTCCCCAGATGTGACTGTCCTTCCATGTGCTCACCATTACCATGGCTTGGTGACAGTGATGAGTGGTCCTGTCCCTCCCTCTGTGTCCACGACATTGGTGACCAGTGGACGCTGCTGTCTTTCCTATAAGAAGGAAAGATGGGCAGAGGCCAGGAGGCCGGGCGGGAGGAGGCCGGGCGGGGAGGCTCACAGAGCAGCTCCTGTCCCTGCCGGCGGCACCCTCCCGGGGCCAGAAGGCCCTGGGCCCCTCAGTGGCCTGTCCCTCCTTGCCTTTCTTCCCTCCCCCTCTTCATTTTCTTCCCTTGGGCTATTTTTGCTGCGTCTGTTTGCAAAATCTTAATATTCTCAATTAAAAAAAAATACAGGCGACTCAGCAGAGATGAAGAAAAGCTTTCCCTTGAGTTTTGTCCCCAGAAAACAAGGGACCCAGCCGACCCCTCCCCCCCACTGCCCAGACAGGCCCCAGGTGAACCCCCATGGCCCTCTGCAGCTCTGGGTGGGGACTCGGTGCCAGTGGGCGTGGACGCACAGGGTCCCCTTGGAGGCTCTCGTCCAGCTGTGGTGGGCCGGTGGGGGTCCCCCCCCTGCACCCCTGTTTCCCCTACTGTAAACCCATGGTCTGCGCGTCCACCTCTGCCCAGGGCTGGGGACTGCCCTGGGTCCTTTGCCGGGGTCACTCGTTCATCGACAGAACTACTGAGCGGCTGCTGTAGAAGCCGAGCACTGTCCCCGACGCTGGGTCACACGTGGGGAAGGTGGGGGACAGTAGGCAGCAGGCCACCAACGCGGAGAACTCTACAGGACAGCGTTGACACGAGTGGACAGTGTGTCCCCAGGAAGCTGGCGCCCACCTGCCTGAGTCCCACCAGGGGAAGGGGACACTGCTCCCGACTCCTGGCCCAGAGTGTCCTTCTCCTCGTTGTTCTGATGCCAAGAAGGAAAAGATCATTGCTGACTTAGTTGATGGCTGACCGTTACTGAGGGCTTCACGTCCCTCCTGAGGGTCAGCTACGCACAACGTTTAAGGCCATTGTCTGCTGAGCACTGAGCAGGAGACGCCGCTGCGAGAACCAGGTGATGTCGGTTGGCACCCAAAGACCCTCCAAGTCTGAAACGCTGCCGCAGTCCGGCTGCAGCAGAATAACCGGGGGGTGACGAATAACTTGTGTCCGTTGATGCAGCAGGAATGGGAGCCGTTTATTGTAGGACAACAGAGCTATTTATACATTTTGCACAGCTTATCTTAATTAGCATAAACTAGATACATCAGTCAACCAATAAGGAATCTCAACACTTAATGGCTCACTTTTGTTACTTTTCAAACCACTCCCTCTGGCATTTTGCCAGGCACCATCCAGACTTGTTTACAAACTCTAACATTCCCCTGGCAAAATACCACGTGTTATTTTGACTTGTCTACAGACCTTAACAAAACGCTCCAAAGTCTGAATTCTAGTTATTTTTACTTTTTATTTTTTGGTCTAGGATTGACCCCAGGGGCACTCTACCACGAGCCACATCTCTGTCCTTTATATTTTTTGAGACAATATCTTGCTGAGTGGCTGGGGCTGAACTTGAACTTGAGATCCTCCTGCCTCGGCCTCTGGGATTACAGCCTCCAGCAAAATTCAGAACTTTTTGAGCCTGACATGTTGCTGAGTAGGAAATTCCACACAATGAAACTCTGTTTCATGTACAGAACAATTTAAAATATGCATAAAAGAAAAGTGCTTTAAGGTTGGATTATAAGGTACATATGAAGCATATTTTTTTAAAATTTTTATTTATTTATTTACTTGTTTGTTTGAGGCAGGGCCTCACTAAGTCGCCCAGGCTGGTCTTGAACTCGTGAGTCCAAGTGATCCTCCACCCTCGGCCTCCGAGTAGCAGGGGTGATGGGTGCTGCCCCTGCCCAGCTCATAAAAGAGTTTTGTGTTTAGACTCGGTCCCGTCTCCTCCCGCACCCACAAATATTCCAGAATCAAAAATTCCAAAGTCTGCACTCTTCTGGTCCCAGGCATTTCTTCTGGCACGAGGTACTCGGCCTGCATGAAACACAGAGGCACAAAGTGGTAGTGACATGGACCGAGGTCACCCAGCCGCGGGGATTTGGGCTCTGGATTTTAAAGACTAAACCACTTCCTACAGCTCCCATCACCCCAGAGAGTGCGCCAATCCGCAGCCCGCTGGGGTGTGTCCGGCTTCCCAGAGACCAAGGGCAGCCTGAGTGGGCTCCGGGCAGGCTCCCAACAAGCCAGACCTGGGGACAGGGTGGCATTGAGGCCAGGCATGTCCTCGTCCACAGAGGCCATGCCGTGGAGACGCAGCCGCTCCAAGGACAAGGACCACAGCCTCCCCGTGAGGCTCAGGTGGGGGCCGGATGGTGCAGGCCCAGCTCTGCCCTAGGGACTGGAAAGGCAGTGGACACAGGCCCTGCCTGCAGCCCCCCGAGGAGGGACGCCCCAGGAGGGACCGGGCGGGGAACAACCAGAGAAGCTGCTGGAGGGGAAGGGTGAGGAGGTGGGAGGGGAGGAGAAGCCCAGCCCCGCCCAGGCCAGCAGCAAGGAGCCCAGGGTCACCCACCAGTGGCACCTCCCGTAGCCCTGGCCTCTTGGTGGCTTGGTGGCCCCGGGGAGTTGGATTTCTTGCCGTGGGGACTCAGGTTCTGGGGCTAGAAGCCGTCTTTCCAGGTCACTGTCCTCCTGTCCTCTGTGTTCTGCTGGTGGGAGCAGTTACGGGCCACCCGGCCTCAGGGAGAGGACAGAGCCCGGGTCTCGCTGGGCCCTGAGAGTCAGCAGCCTGCGCCCACAGCCGCCGCACCCCGCGGCAGATGGAAGGTCAAATCAACGAGTTGACACATGCGAGTACTTAAGCAGGGCCTGGCATCTGGCGACAGCTCCGTTAATGCCAGCGCCATTACCACTGTCACCGTGGAGCGTGTGGTTAGGTGACCCTTTCTCCACGGAGGAAGCAGGTTCAAGGTCAAGGGTGGGCTGGGATCTGTGTGTCCTCTCTGGTCCTGCTGCCCGTACCCAGAGGTCCTGTGCCCAGTGCACCCTCAGGTCCCTCCCCCGGTTTGTGGCGCCCCTTGGCGTCACCCCCCTCCCTCCCTCCCTCCCTCCCCTGGGGACAGTTCCGCGGGTTCCTCCTACTCCAGCAATATTTTCACTACTCATTTAGCGCCATTAAAACTCAGCCATTAGCAGCGACTCCCGGGCAGGTGCGTGGGCCGCTCCAGCTCCGGGGGATGAAGCTCCCCCCCAACCCCCAGGATGAAGCTTCGGCGGCTCGGGGAGGCTCACCCTGGCGCTTCTCTGGAGGATGGAGGCTCAGGCCTGAGCCTGCCGTGGGTCTGGGCCCCTGAACCAGGGCAGGACCGTCTCCCTCCAGGACTCCGTTCCCCAGCTTTGCGAGGAAGAGCCGCGCCTGCCCCGTGCTTCCTGGGAACAGTCCTGTTCAGATCTAAGGGGGGGGGAATCGGCCTCCGTGTCCCGAGGATGAGGTCCAGGTGGATGGAGGAGTCCAGCAGTGAGCGGGGCAGATGAGCCAGCCAGGGCGTGGGTGCTGGGCGTGGGTGCAGGGCGTGGGTGCTGGGCGTGGGTGCTGGGCGCAGGCGGAACAAGAATCAGCAGGGAAATACACAAGAGCGGAGCCCAGCTAGAGGGCCCGGGAGCACCCGTGTCCACTGTTCCCCCACAGGGGTCCTGGGCGCTTTTCCTGGCAGGCGGGGAGGGGGAGGAGGGAGCGGGCCTCCAGGAGGAGACCCCCACCCACGGGTGGAGAGGGGCTGGAAACCCGGGGAACAGAGGCCGAGGGATGGCTGTCTTCTACAGGTGGGTGCAGTGATTTGGGAGCCTGAGTACCCACCATGGGCTGGCACCAGGGCGTCTCCCCTCCTCTCTCTGGACTCTGCCTATTTGTGCCGCCCTGTGGCTGACCCAAAGTGCATTTGGTCATTTAAAATCTCCATCTGGCCAATTCCTTTTGCAGGATTCCTGCCCCCGCCGTGGCCTGACCCTGAGGCCCAGCTCAGGTCTCGGCTACCTGTCCTACCCTCAGTGGAGTGGTTGGTGAAGGGGGAGGAGGTGGATAGTCCTGTCACTTCTTATGCTGTGTGATCTCAGGCAAGTCACCTCACCTCTCTGAGCTTCCCTCTTCCTGGTCATGAAGTAGAGGTAATGACTCCTGACCCGCCCGGCTCCTTGGGCTTTTGTGAGCCTCCAACAAACAACAGGCACAGACTCGCTTAGCCAATGGCCGAGCCCCGTGCCTGGGGCGGTGAGGAGCAGGAACCTATTGAGCAGATGGGCAAGGTGGGGGTCTCAGGCCGAGGCTGGACAGCAGGGCTGGGCCTGGGCTCTAGGCGGCTCTCCCCAGGGCTCCATTCACCTGCCGCAGGGTCCAGGTGAGGCCCAAGCCCCCTCGCAAGATCCTGGAGCCCATGAAAGCAGGAAGGAGAGCTTGAGTGTGACCCAGAGGCCAGCGAGCAGGGGGACACCATAAAGAGCCCCCAGCTGTGCCCAGCAGCACCTCCGTGCCCCGTCCCCAGGACTTGTGGTGCCAGGAGGCCAACTCGTCCCAGCCAGCCAGGGGCGGTTTGGCTCTGAACCTGACTGCCCTCCGTCCCAGGCAGACCAGGGTCACCCTGACCCCGAGCACCTGGGCTTGAAGCAAGGCTCTGGAGCAGACCCCTGGGTTTGAGGCTCCGCTCTGCCGCTTGCTCGCTGTGTGACTTGGGCTGGGTTAGTTGCCTTTTCTGTGCCTCAGTGTCCACGTCTGTGATATGGGAGTAGCACAGCCCTCCTGTGTCACCTGATCTCCCTGCATGTGGGGCCCCCCAAAAGACCACTGGCACCCAGAGGTGGCTGCAAAATGCCCACGGTCACCCTTTTCCAAGTCCCTTTCCCCTGGGAGTGGTGTGTGAGGACCCCCCTTGCCCAGCACCCTGTGGGCCGCCCTGCAGGGGGCGCTGCCGAGACGGGGTGCCTGGTCCGCCCTCCGCAGGGAGCTGAGCTGGGGAGCATCATGACCACAGCCAGAAGACAGCGCATAGTAGGTCTGGCCCGAGCGCAAGGCTGATCACTGAGTCGCACACTGAGAACACGTGGCATCTATGATGCCATAATACATGAAGCCACTCCTCTAGGACTCCAAGTCGAAGGCCCCGGGGGTCTTTCGGGAGAAACCACTTGTTACGGTCAAGGTGACGTGGAGGCTCTTGGGAGGAGGTGGCATCTGAACTGGACGTCACGGGGAGAATCTGGTGGTGGGGGAGGGGTGGGGCGTGGCCCTGGGGAAGCCTGGGGGGGTGTTCCTTCTGCTGCTTGGAGCGGTGTCATCTTGGCGGGTGACCTTCTGTCTCTGGACCCCGGGTTCCTTCGTCTGTGGAGTAAACAGCCTTCAAGGAAGTGCCCGAGCAGCGCGCAGACCCCCGGGAAGGTGTGGTTCCTCAGGTGCAGCTCTAAGCGTCCCGCGTGGAAGGTCTTTGAGCAGTCAACAAACTTCCGTGGACTCCCTCTTGGGTGAGGGCCACCTGGGTGGGCGGGAGCCGGGGGTGCACGGAGGGGAACAGTATTGGGGGGCTGGAGTTGGGGGGCGCTAAAGGCTTCAGTAGGCAGGTGTGACTTCCCTCTGGGCCCCGAGTCCCCTGCTCGTCTCGCAAAAGCCAACAGTGGAAAGAGACGTGCTGGGGGGACACGCCAGGTTCACCCAGGGCTGGCCCTGAGCAGCTCTGTGGAGCCATCATCCCCAAAACACACCTCGAGGGGCTCAGCACAGAGGGCCTCCAGGGGAGGGAAGGGACGCAGTGGGCAGTGGACAGAAGCCCCCGGGCCGGGCAGGGTCTTGGTCACCCCGAGCGGGCGTCCCCTTTTATTCCTGCAGCGAGAAGGTCACATTGACCTTGACCTCCTGGGTCCAGCTCCTGCACTTTCTCTGGGTAAACGTCTTGGTGTCTGCCAGTTAAACCTCACACCCGTGTGCAGGCTTTGTGCCGGAGGGTGACAGGACCCAGGAGCGGGGAGGGGGGCCACTCTGAGCTCCCTGAAGGTCACCAGATGTGCTGGTTCCGAAAATCTAAAGGAGGACTGTGCGGTGAGCATCTCCACCCGGTGGGTGGGGCTCCGGTTTAGAATATAGACTCCTGGACCAAGGGGTGGGGGGGACTGCCAAGGACAAGTGCAACTCAGAAGACACCCCACACA